TCTTGCTTTTCCTCCCTCCAAGTGTGGCCTAGCTGCTGGTGAAATTTATTTGGGGACCTGAGGCCATTTTAGTCAACTGACTTGGGTTCCTCTCACTGAAGAAACTGATTTCCCTCTGGCCCAGGTTTGGTCTAAGTGCTGCCTCCTTGGGCACTGGCAGAATTCTGCCTGATGCTGTGACAGGGTGGCACTGAGTTGCAATGCAAAGTATCACACTCCCTTTGCTGTCATTCACCCAAGCATACAGGTTCTCTTTCCAAGCTGGAGGTGTAGGCAATGTGTTCTTCCCACACTGTTCAGCGCGTCTCCTCTTGTTAGTCTGCTGAAGCTGGGTACTGTGATCTGTCACCTGATTTAGTTTTTATGAAGGTGCTTTTTTGGTGGACAGTTCAGTTTGATGTTCCTGCATTAGATGGGGAGGGGATGAGGTTCTGTTGGGCTTTTTTTTTTTTTTTTTTTTTTTCAGTTTTAAGTTTTTGTAGGTACATGGTGAGTGTATATGTTTATGGGGTACACGAGATGTTTTGATACAGACATGCAATGCTTAATAATCACACCATGGAGAATAGGATATCCATCCCCTTAAGCATTTATCTTTTGAGTTGCAAACAATCCTATTATATTCTTTTAGTTATTTTTAAATGTACAATGAAATTATTGTTGACTATAGCCACACTAGTTTGCTGTCAAAGAGTAGTAGTTCTCGTTCATTCTTTTTTTTTTTTGAAACAGAGTCTCACTCTATTGCCCAGGCGGGAGTGCAATGGTGCAATCTCAGCTCACTACAACTTCCACTTCCTGGGTTCAAGCGATTCTCCTGCCTCAGCCAAGTAGCTGGCATTACAGGCGCACACCACCATGCCCAGCTAATTTTTGTATTTTTAATAGAGGCAGGGTTTCACCATGTTGGCCAGGCTGATCTTGAACTCCTGACCTCAGGTAATCCACCCACGTTGGCCTCCCACAGTGCTGGAATTACAGGTATGAGCCAGTGCACCCGGCCTGAATTCATTCTTTCTAATTATCTTTTTGTACCTGTTAACCATTTCCACCTCCCCCTGTTCAGCCACTTTGTCCTTCCGCCTGCTCCCTCTTGTAACTTTTTATTATAGGAAATTTCAAACATATGCAAAAATAGAATAATAATATAATGAATCCCCATGTATCTGTTCTTATTTTCTCTATTGAACCCCCCCTTTATGGAATATTTACAGCAATGTCCAGATAGTATATTATTCATAAATGTAGCTATGGAGTTTTGTTTTTTGTTTTTAATGCCAGCTGTGATGTTATTAATTACAGGAAACATGCAAAAACAGGTACAGGTACATAAAATGAACCCCTAATAAGGATTATGTTGAAATACCTTTTTTCAGCTTGAAATTGCCAAGAAAAGCTTTTAACCAGGGAAGCTGTAGGGCTAAAGCCTTTAAATCTTTTTTCCTCAGACTAGGAAGCATGTGGCATTAGTACTTGAAGCCTCATCACTAGAGCATTTGTTGATTGGTGTAGGAAAGTCTCAGCTGTTGTCTTTAGGCTTTGAAGAGTAGCGTGTTCATAGCCCTCACATGCTCTCTGTTCATTCCCTTATTTCTCCTATTCCTCCTAAATTTCTTCTGGTTCACAGTAAAAAGTGGAAAATGCAGGTCTAGGTAGTTACATGTTGGGTCAGTGATTCCTACTAGTGAATCATGTCAACATTTCTGAATAAAATTTTAAAACATTTGAGTGGGTACTATATAGAATTTTCAAATGTTTGACTTTTGAAATGCTTTCAAACTTACAGTGAAGCTGTAAGAATAGTGTAAAGAACTCCTGTGTGCCCTTTATCCACATTTACCAAATTTTAACATTTCATGTATGCTTTATTATTATTTTTTCTGAGCCATTTAAAAGTAACATCAAGATATAAAATTTAAGAGTGCAAAAAGTTAAATAATTGTTAAATGTTAATAAAATATAATGGCTACTATTTATTGTGGAATAACCACAATCAAGCATACTATACAGTCGTTTTATGTATGTTAACCCCATTTAATTCTTTTTTTTTTTTTTCCTCATTTAATTCTTAAAGCCTAATGCTGTGGATGATGATATTATGCTCCTTTTACAAATGAAGTTTTTGAGGCTCATAGAAGTTTAAATGAGGGTATTCTGAGACTTTGCTGAAGTTGCTTATCAGCTTAAGGAGATTCTGGGGTGAGACAATGGGGTTTTCTAACTATACAATCATGTCATCTGCAAACAGGGACAATTTGACTTCCCCTTTTCCTAATTGAATACCCCTTATTTCTTTCTCCTGCGTGATTGCCCTGGCCAGAACTTCCAGCACTCTGTTGAATAGGAGTGGTGAGAGAGGGCATCCCTGTCTTGTGCCGGTTTTCAAAGGGAATGCTTCTAGTTTTTGCCCGTTCAGTATGATATTGGTTGTGGGTTTGTCATAAATAGCTCTCATTATTTTGAGATACATCCCATCAATATGTAATTTATTGAGAGTTTTTAGCATGAAGGGCTGTTGAATTTTGTCAAAGGCCTTTTCTGCGTGTGTTGAGATAATCATGTGGTTTTTGTCTTTGGTTCTGTTTGTGTGCTGGATTACATTTATTGATTTGCATCTGTTGAACCAGCCTTGCATCCCAGTGATGAAGCCCACTTGATCATGGTGGATAAGCTTTTTGATGTGCTGCTGGATTCGCTTTGCCAGTATTTTATTAAGGATTTTTGCATCAATGTTCATTAGGGATATTGGTCTAAAATTCTCTTTTTTTGTTGTGTCTCTGCCAGGCTTTGGTATCAGGATGATGTTGGCCTCATAAAATGAGTTAGCAGGATTCCCTCTTTTTCTATTGTTTGGAATAGTTTTAGAAGGAGTGGTACCAGCTCCTCTTTGTACCTCTGGTAGAATTCGGCTGTGGATCCGTCTGGTCCTGGACTTTTTTTGGTTGGTAGGCTATTAATTATTGCCTTAATTTCAGAGCCTGTTACCGGTCTATTCAGGGATTCAACTTCTTCCTGGTTTAGTCTTGGGAGGGTGTATGTGTCCAGGAATTTATCCATTTCTTCTAGATTTTCTAGTTCATTTGCATAGAGGTGTTTATAGTATTTCTGTGGGATTGGTGGTGATATCCCCTTTATCATTTTTTGTTGCGTCTATTTGATTCTTCTCTCTTTTCTTCTTTATTAGTCCTGCTAGCAGTCTATCAATTTTGTTGATCTTTTCAAAAAACCAGCTCCTGGATTCCTTGATTTTTTTGAAGGGTTTTTTGTGTCTCTATTTCCTTCAGTTCTGCTCTGATCTTAGCTGCTGGCCTTTGAATGTGTTTGCTCTTGCTTCTCTAGTTCTTTTTTTTTTTTTTTTTTGAGACAGAGTCTTGCTTTGTCGCCCAGGCTGTAGTGCAGTGGCCGGATCTCAGCTCACTACAAGCTCCGCCTCCCGGGTTCACGCCATTCTCCTGCCTCAGCCTCCCAAGTAGCTGGGACTACAGGCGCCCGCCACCTCGCCCGGCTAGTTTTTTGTATTTTTAAGTAGAGACGGGGTTTCACTGTGTTAGCCAGGATGGTCTTGATCTGCTGACCTTGTGATCCACCCGTCTCGGCCTCCCAAAGTGCTGCTGGGATTACAGGCTTGAGCCACCGCGCCCAGCCCTCTAGTTCTTTTAATTGTGATGTTAGGGTATCAATTTTAGATCTTTCCTGCTTTCTTTTGTGGGCATTTAGTGCTATAAATTTCACTCTACACACTGCTTTAAATGTGTCCCAGAGATTCTGGTATGTTGTGTCGTTGTTCTCATTGGTTTCAAAGAACATCTTTATTTCTGCCTTCATTTTGTTATGTACCCAGTAGTCATTCAGGAGCAGGTTGTTCAGTTTCCATGTAGTTGAGCGGTTTTGAGTGAGTTTCTTAGTCCTGAGTTCTAGTTTGATTGCACTGTGGTCTCAGCGCGGTGGCTCAAGCCTGTAATCCCAGCACTTTGGGAGGCCGAGACGGGCGGATCACAAGGTCAGGAGATCGAGACCATCCTGGCTAACACGGCGAAACCCCGTCTCTACTAAAAACACAAAAAATTAGCCGGGCGAGGTGGCGGCGCCTGTGGTCCCAGCTACTCGGGAGGCTGAGGCAGGAGAATGGCGGGAACCCGGGAGGCGGAGCTTGCAGTGAGCTGAGATCTGGCCACTGCACTCCAGCCTGGGCGACAGAGCGAGACTCCGTCTAAAAAAAAAAAAAAAAAAAAAATTAAGAAAATGTGGCACATATATACCATGGAATACTATGCAGCCATAAAAAAGGATGAGTTCATGTCCTTTGTAGGGACATGGATGAAGGGGGAAACCATCATTCTCAGCAAACTATCATAAGGACAAAAAATCAAATACTGCATGTGCTCACTCATAGATGGGAATTGAACAATGAGAATGCTTGGACACAGGAAGGGGAACATCACACACCTGGGCCTCTCTTGGGGTGAGGGGAACGGGGAGGGATAGCATTAGGAGATACACCTAATGTAAATGATGAGTTAATGGGTACAGCACATCAACATGGCACATGTATACATATGTAACAAACCTGCATGTTGTGCACATGTACCCTAGAACTTATAATAATAATTTAAAAAGTTTAAATAAGGGTATATAGCTGGTGAAAGATGGCTAGAATTTATATTGAGACTTACATGGCTTCAAAGTTGATGGGATTTTCTAAGTCTTCCTTAGGTGAACCATATTATGCTTCCAGAAATCATAAATCACTGCTTAGTGGTTCTCTACTGAGGGTGAGGAGGGCAGCAAAGACTTTGAAAAATATCTTCAAAGGATTCTTATATCCTCCACTCCCTCACCCTCCCTGGCCTTTGAGCCATTGAATTAACCGAAAGCAAGCTAGGGCAAAGAGTGAAAACAAAACATGCTGAGAAACACACTTTTAAGCAGGCTTTCTGTAGAAATGGATGGTTTTGGGAAATGTGTTTTCTCATTCATGGCTTTTACTTCCTTCGTTACAGGCCAAGCAGATAGAACTTCAGTTCACTATTGGCGAAGCCATTACCAGCGCTGCAATAGGAACTAGTTCTGTGGCTGCCCGAGATGCCTGGCTAGTGACTGAAGAGGAATATACTCCTCCTGCTGGTACTAAATATTCAGCTAATCAATTTATAATTGTCAAGTAACCCTTTTTTGTTCTTGTTATTACATTTGAGGCAAAACCATTATACATTCCATATTACTTTTTTCAAATATTTATATCTGTTTTACCAGTTTCATTCAGTCAAGAAAAATAGTTGGGTGAAGAAGACAGCATGAGGCTGGGCACAGTGGCTCATGCCTGTAATCTCAGCAATTTGAGAGGCCGAGGTGAGCGAATCACCTGAGGTCAGGAGTTAGAGACCAGCCCAGCCAACATGGTGAAACCCCGTCTCTACTAAAAATAGAAAACTTACCTGGGCGTGGTGGCACAAGCCTGTAATCCCAGCTACTTGGGAGGGTGAGGCATGAGAATTTCTTGAACCTGGCAGGTAGAGGTTGCAAGTGAGCTGAGATCATGCTACTACACTCGATCCTGGCCAACAGAGTAAGACTCCGTCTCAAAAAAAGAAAAAAAAAAGGCAGCATGAAATTAGTAACTTATTTTTCTGACCCTTTGGCAAGCAAGCAGGGGAGTCAGCTCTGGATCACCTTGAAGCTTGTGCTCTTTTCATGAGGATTTATGTATTTAGCCAGTTTCAGAATTCAAGGTATAGTTGTTTCCAGATGATGTGTCCTTTAATCCCTTATTACATAAGTGCCTTCTGCTAGCGTTCCATATAGTGGCAGCATATAGTTGAGGGAACATGTGGTTTCTGACTTTATGTTTTATATATTATGATTTCAAATTTATTGTGGTTTGATTTGAATTTGGAATTGAAAATATATTTTAGTATTTGAGCTAGAATAAAAAAAAATTTAAACAGAAGGAAAAGTCACCAAGTTTTTATATTTTATTCTCTCAATTGAGGAAATTAAAAGATAGTATTCTCGTGGTAACATTTTATTGTATATTGTGTTCCATCATGAATAATGCATTAATTTAGTTATTGCACTTAGTGTTACAGTTAACACTTCACTCCACGTTAATGCGTTCACTTATTATTTCATTAGCCACCATAAAGAGATTTAAAGGAAATAGAAAAACACACTTTTGCTTGCACTGTAATGAGAACTGTGGATTGACAGAAGCTGAATCCGAGTCAGTTCTTTGAGGTTTTTCTTTGAACACACGTGGAGCAAGGCAAGGAGCACTTTGTATAGAAGGAAGACGGTAAGGAAGGAAAGCGACATTGTTAGCAAGAAAACAACCAAACCTGAAGTGGGAATTTTCAGGTTGCATGTGAGAGGTGGTAACAGAGGCTTGACAGCAGGGAGGGCTCACACTGAGGAGTGGGTTTGCTGTGAGAGGCATGTTTCTGACTCCATGGGTTTTTACATAGTGACTTAACAAGTAAAGGTTAATAGAGAGGTATCTATGCCAGTCTTCATTCTCTGAACTCTTGTATTGCCTCAAACTCTTCTTGGAAGATTGCATCCTGCTTGGCTTTTTACTCATCCACAGGAATCTCAGATTGTCCATTCAATGTTGAAGTTCTATTTTTGTCTGTTTTGGGAAAGGAGAACATAAAATATTGTGGAGAAGGGAGGGTTGATGAATCTTTGATGTGAATTTTGATCATGCGTGTTCTATGTCATTCTCATCTGAGTGCTACTCGGCCTTTGGATGTTGTTGTTGGTTACAGTGTACCAATCTTGCTGTGAGTAGAATGAACAGCATTTGAGAAGCCAGTTAGGGCCCAGGTCTTAGCCATCTTAACATCTGTACATATTATCCCAGGCATGTTATGGGAATCTAGTAAGGACTTGTTGGTTTTGTAATTGTAGTTACCCAGATAGCAGAACTGCTGGCAGCTAGAGTTGTGGTTATGGGAATTAAAAGAAGGGATTCTGACTCTGAGAACTGGAGTAATGTGATCAGCGAGGAACTGTGAAGGGATGAGGGGTGGAGGGGAATTAACCATGTCATGTACTGCCAATATATCAACTAAGGTGAGAAATGAGAACGTAGCAACAGGAAAGTCATTCGTGATTTCTATGACTAATTTCTATGGAGAAGAGAAGGTAAAAGGCTGATTTGGAGTGGGCTCAAGGAAAGAGAAGAGCAAAGTTTGAACATGAGTTTGAACAACTGTTTTGAAGGGTCTTAATGTAAATCAGTGGTTTGTCACTGGAGGAGTGAGATTTTTGCCCCACAGGGGACATTTGGTGATGTCTAGACACTGGGGAGGGTGGGTGCCACTGGTCTCTAGTGGGTGAAGGCACAGGATGCTGCTAGACATCCTGCAGTATATAGCACAGCTCTGTATAATAAAAAATTATCCAGCTACAATGTCAGTAGTGTTGAGCTTGAGAAACCCTGCAGTAATAAAGGAAAGGAGAAAAACAGTATGGTAGCTGGAGGAGGAAAGTAAGTGCAAAAGAAGTTTGTTTTTAGATGGAAGATGAGAAACGTCTAGTAGACAAAGAAAAATTGCTAAAGAGTAGGGATAAGTTTTCATTCTCAGGAACTAAAAAGTTACTCGAGTATCTTTGAAATGTAATTTTGTTTACACTAGGTTCTAGAGTGAATAATTATTCCTTCAGCAACTTTAAACACCTTAGTCATTTAGATTTTAATATAGGATTGTTATGCAAATGTTGATTTCAATTCAATTTTTTCAGGAAACTATGTTGAATTATTTTAATTCTTTGTTATTTTTTTTTGCTTTTCCCCAGGAGCCAAAGTGAATGATGTGGTTCCATGGGTGTTGGATGTGATTTTAAATAAACATATCATCAGCCCCAACCCACATGTGAGGCAAGCAGCCTGCATCTGGCTCCTTTCCCTTGTGAGGAAGCTAAGTACCCACAAAGAAGTGAAGGTGAGCCATGCTGTCTGTGGTCAGCCCTGTTGGAAACCAGTTTTATAAGTAGCAAGGAAAGCATATGAGGGTGAAGGTCATTAACCAATAGTAGGTATTTTGAAATACATTGTACATGAAGGAATGAAGAATGGTGGCCTGATATAGGCTAGAAGATGATTCTAGACTTGAAGGTATAAAGTCAGAAGTGCTTGAGATGGGGAAGCTCAGTTAGGGCAATGGTCAGCTTGCGTGTGTTAGACTACCTGTAAGTGGTGCAGCTCCAGGTGATTTGGGCCACCTATAAAGATGAGAGCAAAACAGCGATTGTAACTGGCTTGGATAATAAGACTACAAATTTTGTGCACGGTGAGAGCAAGACTCTTACTCTCTCAAAGAGGTAGAGTTTCAGTGTTCTAATGCCTTTTTTCTTCTTTCAGTCTCATCTTAAAGAAATTCAAAGTGCGTTTGTTTCAGTTCTATCAGAAAATGATGGTAGGTTGTTGGTTAATATTTGATTTCTAAACTTTATTGAACTTGTGTTTTAAATGTTGAAAAACCTGGATTAATGAACATAAAAGAAAACTTTCTTGAGCTGTGTAATCAAAACAATTATTAAACCTTATTTGTTAGCAGTAAGGATAAGCGTTATGTTAATGGCTTGGAAACCAAAATTTCTAGTTAGGATATAGGAAACTTAGATTCTTTTTTATTTATTGGTTTATACGTTAGAACATATTCCTCAACTCTGCATTTTAAAATGGAGCCGAGGCCTTCTTTAGTATCTCTCATAATAGCTTTTTTCTACCTCTGGTTACTTTTCCTCTCTGATTTAAGCTAGGAGAGAGTGAACGTATATGTGTTAAATCTTTCAGTAGTAGCTTTGTTTTATAACTTGTTTTAAACATATGGACTTGTATTGACTTTTAAAAGTTAGGTCTGAGTGTATTGAGATCTTGTGAGGCTGTTTTATCTCTGATGTGTATGACTTATAGCCCGTGGATGATCTGTCACTGCACTGTCCAGTGACACTGTATAGGTCCATCAGTATTGTCTAGGTTTGTGAACTGGATCTTCTGTGAATGTGGTTCTCATTTACAGTAACTTATGTATGGTGCCATGTCCACTGAAATGATTTATTATTATTTTTAATAAAATAGGCATGTTGATTCTGTTTTTATATCTTTACTTTGATATCATTTTGGGTCAGTGTTAACTTTTTAAAGCTTTTGATTTCATAGCAAGCAGACAAAATTTTTTTAAAGTAATACAATCTTGTCTGACTTTCTTGTAGAACTTAGCCAAGATGTTGCATCAAAGGGCCTTGGGTTGGTTTATGAACTAGGCAATGAACAAGATCAACAGGAATTGGTTTCTACACTTGTAGAAACACTTATGACTGGCAAAAGGTATGGTGAACTTGAAAATTTTAGATTCAAGCCCATAGAGGAAGTCTATACACATAGTGAGAATATGCTGGAGAAGGAAGATTCAGCTTTCCATTTTTTCGTTTATGAAGCTTTTTCTAAATTGCAAGTCCGTAATTGTTGTGCTGTGGATAGCACAATTATTCCAGTGTATACTGTTAACTTTAGGAGCATGCCACTAGGTCAAGCTTTGAAAGTTTAATGATCTCAGACAATTAATGTATTGGATTAGAAAAATGCCTTAATTACTGTTGGCTAAATGGAAGTTAAGATACGGAGAAGAAGCTTGCATATCATTCATTGTCTAATCTGTGAAGAGTGTGAGGGGAAATCATCTGTGTTAAGGGATTGCTGCTTTATGTTTCCTCCCTTGTAGGAAGGATAGTTTTTCATGTGCTACCACATTTAATCCAGGGGAAATTATGTGAAATGTCTTTTTCATCTGTTAATTTGTTCATTCTGGATTCATTTTACAAAATTTGCAGCCTCATGGAAAGGACTTTTTTTTTTTTTTTGGTCTTTCTGTGACGGAGTCTTGCTCTGTTGCCTAGGCTGGAGTGCAGTGGCCTGATCTCGGCTCACTGCAGCCTCTGCCTCCCTGGTTCAAGCGATTCTCCTGCCTCAGCCTCCTGAGTAGCTGGGACTACAGGCGTGTGCCACCATGCCCGGCTAATTTTTTGTATTTTTAGTAGAGATGGGGTTTCACTGTATTAGCCAGGATGGCCTCGAACTCCTGACCTAGTGATCTGCCCACCTTGGCCCCCCAAAGTGCTGAGATTACAGGCATGAGCCACCGCACTCGACCGGAAAAGACTTTTATATCTTATGCACAGTAAATGCTTGATAGGAAGTTTTATCACTTTGTAAATGAATTGCATTGGCTAGTTGAATGTTGGTGTGAAAAGCTTGAAGCTTATTGAAATTCTTATTTTGGTTTAGAGTTAAACATGAAGTTTCTGGAGAGACAGTGGTATTTCAAGGGGGAGCTCTTGGCAAAACGCCAGATGGGTAAGTACGCTAAATCCATTGAATGGTAAACATCTTTAAATATATATATATATGTGTGTTTATTAGTCTGGTAAATACAGCAGTGATGAAGTTGATTTTCACCCGCTTAGGAAATGTTATCTATTGGTGGAAGAAGAAAACTTATATGGAAAAAAGACTGATGTCTTTTTTTTTTTTTTTTTTTTTTGAGATGGAGCCTCACTCTTGTTGCCCAGGCTGGAGTGCAGTGGCTTAATCTTGGCTCACTACAACCTCCCCTTCCTGCGTTCAAGCGATTCTCCTACCTCAGCCTCCTAAGTAACTGAGATTACAGGTGCCTGCCACCACGCCTAATTTTTGTGTTTTATTAGAGATGGGGGTTTCACCATGATGGTCAGGCTGCTGTCGAACTCCTGACCTCAAGTGATTCACCCACCTTGGCCTCCCAAAGTTCTGGGATTACAGGTGTGAGCCACTGCGCCTTGCAGGCTGATGTCTTAATGAGTGTCCTGGGAAACAAACTCTGAGATAGAAATTTCTGTGTGGAAAATTTACTGGGGAGTGCTCTAGGGATCACTGTGGGGACATGAGGAAGCAGGATAGGACCTATGACTGAGGGAAGGCTGAACTGCTGCCATCGTTTCAGTGGATACCAGCCTCTTGAGGAGCTCTGAGCTGGCGTGGGTGGCCTTTCGGAGTTGTTCTGCTTTGAGGCATGAAGCCTGGCCCTTTATGTCCCCTCAGTGACCAGCCATTGGTGGTGGGCTGCTGCATGGGAGCCCATGATGTTGGGCTCTCAGGGCAGTTGGGGAAGACTGACTAGGCCAAGAGGTCAGCTCTCAGGCAGCTGAGTCCTGCGGAACACTGGAAGCGTAGCTAGGCGCACCCACTGCCACTTGTTTTTGGGTGGGTGTAATTCTTTATCTTAGAGGTCACTACTTTAGCATTTAAAATAAATTTCTTGAGCTTGACCTCCTTTATTTTATCATGCTTTATTTCTGTGGATCGTTAGGCAAATCTTTGCTGGTTGCAGGGCCTTGCTGTGGTGTCCCACACGAGCCTGCTTCATTGTTGTCTGCAACTGGAGAAAGCTGCAGTTTGTTCTGTCGTTGACGTTCCCCTACAGTACACTGTTATCACATCAAAAGTTGTTTTCATTCTACTTATTCTCCTTGTAGACTCCTTCTAAGTTTTTAAAAAAGTGCTTACATTTTACAAAATAACATAAAACGATTAGATATATTTGTTCAGAGGAAAGTTAACAAGACTCAAGTTAATCAGGGTTAGAGTGGTCTAGCTTAGAAAAGACTTAGGGAAGACAGATGTCGTCTTCACATGACTCTCTTATGATCATGTGAGATTATGCATAACATAATGGAGAATTAATGAGTTGCATCCCCAGGTGGTGAGGGGACCACTTCTATGGACTTAGAGGTGCATTTAGGTCATTTATCAGCAGCAATGTAGAGGAGCTTAGGAATTGCTGATAGTTGAATTAGGTGACTTTTTATATTCTTCCCAACCTGTTTTCTGTCTCCATGGTGATAAGATAACTCAATATTAGAAACTGAGTGAAAATTTGATTTTAATATGTCCTAGTAATATTGATGATGTAATTTTTTAGGCTGGAGAGAGAGAAGTATATTATTGCCTACCTCTTTTTCTTTGTTTCCAAGTCAGGGCCTTTCTACCTACAAGGAACTTTGTTCTCTGGCAAGTGATCTTAGCCAGCCAGATCTGGTGTATAAATTTATGAATTTAGCCAACCATCATGCAATGTGGAACTCTAGGAAGGTAAGTTGCTATCACTGGACAATTATTATTATTTTTTCCTGCAAACCAAACATGCTACATTGGCAGACAGTGGCAAATGATATACAGTGCATTTTGTGAAAGTATGTGCCTGATGAGAAAGCTGAACCCCGCATAGCTACTATTGATTGGAAAGCCCAATAAATCAGGCTGTATTTAGGCATAAGTTTGGGAGGGAGAATTTTTTGCTGTGTTAATATTTTACTATAATGGGTGCATCTGAGTCACTTCAGCCTATTATTATTTTTAGGGTGCTGCTTTTGGTTTTAATGTAATTGCTACCAGAGCTGGAGAGCAGCTGGCTCCTTTTCTGCCTCAGCTAGTTCCTCGACTTTATCGTTACCAGTTTGATCCCAACCTTGGCATTCGACAGGCCATGACAAGTATTTGGAATGCGTTGGTCACTGACAAATCCATGGTAAGTGTCTGTGAACCGTGTGTTAGGAAAACACTGTAGATTGTCCAAGGTCATGCATGGGATTTAAACCCAGTGCCCATCTTCCTTTCTACTTTTTATACTTACTTGTTTAAACAAGCAAATTGTCTTTCATTCCATGCTTTCTTCCTACTTTCAAGGTATCAAAGATGTGTATGGCAACATTTATTAAAATCTCCAAAATGGAAACCATCTAAATGTCCGCTGGGAAGATGGTTAAGGAAATGATCATATATTCACACGAATGGAATAGTAAACGTGGAGAGGGATGATTGACGCAGTGGAGAGTGGGTTGTGGCCCCACCTCCAGCGAATTCAGTTAGGTGGGGAGACATACATGGAAGCAGGCAGTTGCCATTTTGTTTTCTCTGTTGGTGTCCTCTCATCTGGCTGTTAATCATGTTCCATCCCACTTTTAGATACTAAGATTTCTCAGGGCTTGTCTCTGAGTATCTTTTTGTTCTCTGAGCTTTCTCTGTATCAATCAGTTCCAAGGCATATAAATGTCATCTTTATTGTGAAAGTTCCCAATCTTATAGTTTTGGTCCAGATGTCACTTGCACTTTAGACTTGTATATGTAACTGTTTACTTGACATTTTCACTTCAGTGTTGTTTCAGAATACCATAAACCCAACGTGCCCAGAATAGGACTTAAAAAATAACCTTCCCCCTCTATTCTCACTGTTCACCTATTTGCCCAAGCCAGAAAACTTGGTGTCATACTTTATTTTGGGCTGTGTCTCACCACTACCCCCAATTGAATCTAGTAGCAAATTCTGTTGATTCTGCTTCCAAAGTATTCCTTGAATCCACTCTCTTCTTTCCCTAATTCTTTCCCGATGAACAGGTCATCATCGTCTTTTTTTTTCCTCTTTGCCTTTCTTCATTTAATTATCTACATAGTAGCAAAAGTGATTTTTAAAAATGAAAATTAGATTGTGCCATTTTGGATTAAGATCCTTTAGTAGCTTTACAGCCTCACTTTAAATAAATTCCATGATCCTTACTATATCTTACAAGTCCCTGCCCGTAATGTGGCCCCTTCCTGTCTCACCTGTCTGGTACTAGGCTGAATATGTTTCTATTCATGGTGGTAGGTACTTGAGGGTTCAGCTTTGAAGACTCAGTGAGTTTTGCTTGCTCCAGGAGAACATGTGGCACTTCTGGGTCAGCCAAGATCTAATAGGCCAATGGGCTTTGTAGGTCTGAGCTCAGGATACAGGCCTAGACCCTTGAGACATGAGTGTCATCTCTGTGAGTGAAAGGATTAAGCCACAAGTGTGGATGAGATCATCCATGGAGAATGTTGAGAGAAGCAGACATAGGAGGACATCAGTTTGTTATTTACCTCTTTGTCTTGGTTTTCTTACATGTAAGTAAGGATAACAAAACCTTTCCTACCTATAAAAGTGGAAAAGCCATAAATTTTTGAGAATGTCAGCATTGGTATAAAAGTGATTCTACCATTATTTTCTCATTATTACCAAGTTGCTAAGTGTATATCAAAACAGCACAGAGGCTTAAAAAGTAAAACTCATCTTTCATTCTGAACAGTCATGAACCAGGCACTGGGTAAGGTACTGGGGATAAAAAGATGAGTAAGACACCGTCCCTCAATAACTGCACTGATAATGAGTGAGACACTGTCCCTCAACTAACTGCACTGATGATGAGACTGTGCCCCTCAGTAACTGCACTGATGATGAGTGAGATTCTGTCCCTCAACTAACTGCACTGATGATGAGTGAGACTCTGTCCCTCAGTAACTGCACTGATGATGAGTGAGACTCTGTCCCTCAGTAACTGCACTGATGATGAGTGAGACTCTGTCCCTCAGTAACTGCACTGATGATGAGTGAGACTCTGTCCCTCAGTAACTGCACTGATGAGTGAGACTCTTTCCCTCAGTAACTGCACTGATGATGAGTGAGACTCTGTCCCTCAGTAACTGCACTGATGATGAGTGAGACTCTGTCCCTCAGTAACTGCACTGATGATGAGACTGTGTCCCTCAATAACTGCACTGATGATGATGAGACTCTGTCCCTCAGTAACTGCACTGATGATGAGACTGTGTCCCTCAGTAACTGCACTGATGATGATGAGACTGTGTCCCTCAGTAACTGCACTGATGATGATGAGACTGTGTCCCTCAGTAACTGCACTGATGATGAGTGAGACACTGTCCCTCAGTAACTGCACTGATGATGAGTGAGACTCTTTCCCTCAGTAACTGCACTGATGATGAGTGAGACTCTTTCCCTCCGTAACTGCACTGATGATGAGACTGTGTCCCTCAGTAACTGCACTGATGATGAGTGAGACTCTGTCCCTCAGTAACTGCACTGATGATGATGAGACTGTGTCCCTCAATAACTGCACTGATGATGAGTGAGACTCTGTCCCTCTGTAACTGCACTGATGATGAGACTGTGTCCCTCCGTAACTGCACTGATGATGAGACTGTGTCCCTCCGTAACTGCACTGATGATGAGACTGTGTCCCTCAGTAACTCCACTGATGATGATGAGACTGTGTCCCTCAGTAACTGCACTGATGATGAGACTCTGTCCCTCAGTAACTGCACTGATGATGAGACTCTGTCCCTCAGTAACTGCACTGATGATGAGACTCTGTCCCTCAGTAACTGCACTGATGATGAGTGAGACTCTGTCCCTCAGTAACTGCACTGATGATGAGACTGTGTCCCTCAGTAACTGCACTGATGATGAGTGAGACTCTTTCCCTCAGTAACTGCACTGATGATGAGTGAGACTCTGTCCCTCGGTAACTGCACTGATGATGTGAGACTCTGTCCCTCAGTAACTCCACTGTCCTGTGCAGTAACTGCACCTGACCCCCTTGAGGGTCTCCAGTATAGTGGAACAGTGCAGTTATTGAATGGTTTTGTGTGATGCTCCTTCAGAAGGTGCTACGGGAGCAGAGAGGAGAGTACCCAAGCCAGTCTTCTCTGAGAAAGAACGGCTAATATGAACCTTGAGGGACAAGTAGGAGTTAGCCAAGCAATTAGGACCTGGGAAGGGGATTGTAGGTAGAGGTGGCATGTGCCAAGGAATGGAGGTGAGACAGAATATGGTACTTTTGGGTCTGGATGAGTCATGGAAGGCTTTGTGTGCACTTTGTGTGAAGCCTGCGTGATTGGACTTCATTCTTATGCACTGAGGAAAATAAGAGCATCAAATGTACATTTTAGAATGATCACCTGGCAGCTTTATAGCGACCAAAAGTGGGAAGAGGTTTGTGGGCTGAGTGGCCTAGAGAGACATGGAGGCTGTAAAATACAGAAACATGGGCAGTGTGGGTTACATGTGGTTAACCAGTGTGGTTAAGAGTTGAATAATTTGATTATTGATGGATTTTGCATTTTAAATTTTATCCTTTTGCTTTCCTTAGGTGGATAAATATTTGAAAGAAATTCTTCAAGATTTGGTTAAGAACCTTACAAGCAATATGTGGCGAGTTCGAGAATCCAGGTACTATTTTTAGGAATATAAGTTTAGTCAAATAAAACCGAATTTTTTTCCCTTCAGAATTTCCAGGTTTTATACTTTGTGCAAAAGGAATAAATTAAAACTACTAAAAAGCTGGCCGGGTGTGGTGGCTCACACCTGTGATCCTGGCATTTGGGGAGGCCGAGGTGGGTGGATCACCTGAGATGAGGAGTTCAAGACCAGCATGGGCAACATGGTGAAACCCCGTCTCTACTAAAAATACAAACATCAGCTGGGCCCAGTGGCGTGCCTGTAATCCCAGCTACTCGGGAGACTGAGGCAGGAGAATCGTTTGACCCCAGGAGGCAGAGGTTGCAGTGAGCCGAGATCGCGCCACTGCAGTCTAGCCTGGGCGACAGAGTGAGACTCTGTCTCGAAACAAAACAAAACAAAAAACTACTAAAAAGCATATTTCTTGTTGGCTACATTAGGTAGTTATTTTTCTTTAACTATTTAAGCTTTGGTTAAAGATTTTCCTAAATTGTCATAGTTTATATAAGTATGAAATCAAAGAAGTTGAAGATTACCTGTTAAATTGTTAGATACCGAGATATATTTTTGTACTGTCATGACTTTATAGGTTAGAATTTCTGTATACAAATTACATTCATTCAGTGCCCATTATGTACGTGGCAGTGTGCTAGGCCCTGGGGGCACACTGGTGAATAAAAAACGATGTGTCATCTCAAAGGGATTGTATTGTAGTTGTGGGAAACAAACATTTTATACTTGTAAATTCTATATATATATGGTATATTTGAGGGACCTGGAGAGAAGTCATTGCTGTTTTGGGGTGAGGGGATGAGAACTCGAATTAGAGGCAGAATCTGTTTTCTTTTTTAGTGTAAACGTTTCATAGTAAAATACTGACCTTCTTCTTCATATGTTGAAATGAAATTTTAATTTTCAGCTGTTTAGCTTTGAATGATTTATTGAGAGGAAGACCCTTAGATGACATCATTGATAAACTTCCAGAAATTTGGGAAACGCTTTTTAGAGTACAAGATGATATCAAGGTATTATAGAAATAAATCAGCATTTATACATACAAAAAGTTAAATTGGAATTATTAAAATATTTACGTTGTATATGTCAAAATTCCATTTCCAGGTAGAGACCAATGTTTTCCCCCAAAGTTTCGGTCTTAATGTGTCTGTGAAGTTGCAAGGTTGGGTATCCTTAGATCTAAATTAAATAGACTTGAAAAAAAGGTGGCTGTATACCTTCTTTCAGTAGAGATCACATGATTCTGTTGGATTAGGGACAAATAACAGTTTTGAATATAGTAACAGTATTTTGATCAGTTCTGTAAATGGGTTTAATTATTCTCAAATAATGTGACCAATTCCTCTGAATTTTTCTTGGGCAATCTTAATTTTAGGTATTTTTGATATTTTACTATTAAAATTAGGCACTTCAGTTTTACCTTTCTTTTTTATTTATTGGAGGATTTTAAGTGTTTCAGAATTCTCACATAGATCTTTACGTATTTACTTTTATAATACATTTAGTTTCTCAACTGTTAATGGCTAAATTTATTAAGGTCAAAATAGGTTACAGTTAATGTTGAAAAATTAGTAGTATGGCATGGTAATGTGTTCCTTGATGGGCAGGGAGTCTAATGAGATACCAATTTTTTTTAACCTAATATGAAATGTAAGATTTTCCACCAATCTCTATAGGCTCTGAGGCAATTAAATTGCAAATTGTAGAGTAGATTATAGTGAAACTCTCTAACTTGTATGATCTCACACTTTTGTCATTTTTAGGAATCTGTACGAAAAGCAGCAGAACTAGCTCTGAAAACTCTGAGCAAGGTGAAAACTCCTATCTTAAATTGGGAATGGAGTGGGGCAGAGTTCTGGGTGACCATGACAATGATTTACTTACTGTCATAGGAAGTGACATGTAGTTGCAGTATAATTGGCTTCCTGTTGTAGTTCACTACTCTTAGAATGAATGAGAAAGTGAGTGCTGTAAACACTGTAATGCTGGTATGTTGAACAGAGTATACTTGTGGTCTCTTTAAATGGTGAAATTAAGATAAAACTTTGACTTAACCCTGAAGAGCACGTCACTCAGATCAAGCAACACCTGTCTTTTCTCTTGCTTTTGCTATGTTTACATATAAAGCTACCTTTCATATCTGTGAGGTTGGAAAGCTTTTTGAAACTAAATTATCTCCCACTTGAACTTGATTTTGTGATATATCAGGAACTTTACATTCTAGTTGCACAAACCTTGCCATAGGTCACAGAAATAGTAAAACCAGGTTTTAAATATAGGTGTTTTCTTGTTTCAGGTGTGATCTTGACCACTATATTGTGTGTGACCTGACGTTACTGATGATGATGATGATGATGATGATGATGATGATAACACTTCGAAACTTCTTTAATTTTTTTTTTTAATTTTTTTTTGTTTTTTGGAGACAAGGTCTCACTCTGTTACCCAGGCTGGTATGCAGTGCTGTGATCACAACTCACTGCAGTCTCGACCTCTCGGGCTCAGGTGATCCTCCCACCTCAGCGTCCTGGAGAGCTGGGACCACAGGTGTATGCCACCATGACTGGCTAATTTTTCATATTTTTTGTAGAGACAGGGTCTCTTCATGTTGCCCAGGCTGGTCTCAAACTTCTGGGCTCAAGCAATGCGCCTGCCTTGGCCTCCCAAAGTGTTGAGTTTATAGGTGTGAGCTACTGCACCCAGCCCTAAACCTTCTTTAGAGTGCTTTCTTACATATTTTCTCATTTGATCATCATCTATTTTGTTCTGTATTTCACAAATTGGAGGACCAGTGCTTAGACAGTGAAATGTATTACTAGATTTTCTGTTTAGTTCTCGGCAGACCTAAGACTCAATCTCAGATCTCATTCCTCTGTGTCTCTGTAGTGTCAGAGAAAGTAGATTCACTTATTCTTCTCTGTAGATATGTGAAGTAGAAAGTCTTTTGTCAGATGAATGCTTTATTGGATGAGCGGTCACTTTCACTAACGTCCATGCTCTTTGTATGTGAGGTCTGTGTGAAAATGTGTGACCCTGCCAAAGGAGCAGCTGGCCAGAGAACCATCGCTGCCCTTCTGCCTTGCCTTCTGGACAAAGGAATGATGAGCCCCGTGACGGAAGTTCGAGCCCTCAGGTGTGCATCCGTTGATGAAATGAATGTATTGGATTTGCTCAGTTCCTAGAAATCGTGTTTCTTTCAAGGTTAGATTCTGGAAAATAATGGAGAAAGAGGTTTAGGAGAATGACCCTTGGGTCATTTGTGAAAACTTGTGAGACAGAATATTTTCACAGAAACATTCTCGTGAGACCTTGCTTTTGCCCAGCATTCTGAGTCAAGCATGTTTTTCTGTTGTCATCAGCCTCTGCTCCCAACAAGCACATCTTCCTGTTACACTGCAGGTCCTCAGGAGCGTGCTGGTTCATGATAATATTTAGTAATATTTCACACATTATTAGATTTAAGACAAGCTGTTTACCCCCTGCAATGATAAAATATTCAAAAAAATGTACTTACACTTTTAGATATAATATATGGCTACTTTAAGTTAAAACCAATAGTGTAGGATTCTAGTTTGTATGTTTTGTTTGTTTTTAAACTACAGTGCTGTCTAGGAACTTTATCTGTTCCATTTTTATTTCACTCTTAAAAGTAGAACAAATTACTAATAATAGTGCCAGCAGTATTTCATGGCAAGTAGATAGTTGATGAGAGAAAGTTTTTTTTAGAAGGACTCACCTAACAACTGCAAAGGCAGATGCAACTAAGAGTATCACTTTGGCTGGGCACGGTGGCTCATGCCTGTAATCCCAGCACTTTGGGAGGCCGAGGTGGGCAGATCACCTGAGGTCAGGAGTTCGAGACCAACCTGGCCAACATGGAGAAACCCTGTCTCTGCTAAAAATACAAAAAAAATTAGCCAGGTGTGGTGGCGCATGCATGTAATCCCAGCTACTTGGGAGGCTGAGGCAGGAGAATAGCTTGAACCTGGGAGGCGGAGGTTGTGGTAAGCTCAGATCGCACCATTGCACTCCAGCCTGGGCAACAAGAGTGAAACTCCATCTCATACACACACAAAAAAGTATCACTTTTTGCTCTGCTCAGTAAAATCTAAGTAGTGATCATTAGATGCCCCTAAATCCACTGGGTGAATGGCTGACGAGAACTTTATAATGATTCAGGGCAACCAGACCTGAACTTACCAATCACTCCTCACAGCACAAAAAGACAACCAGTGCATCGTGATGTGATGGAATAGGACACACACAGCATTGCCTAGGAAGGATTCTGTGTGTGTGTGTGTGTGTGTGTGTTTACAAAATTGAATGTGGACTCAGTTTAGCCTGTAGATCTGTACAGGGGAGAGAGGAACATGTTAAATGACCTGACTGGAATACAGTCGAGGACAAATAAGAAAAAAAGAGGAGAGTGGAGACTGTTAAAAAAATTAGGAAATGCAGTAGATTGCAATGTATAAGTGGGCTTGGATCCTGATTCTAGCATGCCAACTGTTTAAGAAGCTAATGAAACAGAGAAATTTGGATACTTGATATGGAAAAATCATTAATATTTTTAAAGTGTGAAAATGGTATTATGATTATAATAAAGAACCTTTGTCTTTTAGATATTCATAGTGAAGTTTAGTTAAGGGATATGCTTTCCAATGCAGTCACGCGTCACTTAGTGAATAGGATACTTCTGAGATGTGTCATTAGGTGATTTCATGGGTGTGCAAACATTAACATGAAGTTGGAAAAATGGTACAGTTAGATTGCTTGATGCAGGGTTGCCACAAATCTGTTCACTTCATGTCTATGTCACATTTTGGTAATTCTTAACAGTATTTCATACTTTGCATTATTGTTATATCTGTTTTGGTGGTCTGTGATCAGTGATGTTTGATGTTACTTTTGTAATTGTTTTGGAGTTGTATGAACTACACACATTTAAGATGGTGAACTTAATTGATCAATGTTGTGTGTGTCCTGATTGCTCCACTGAACAGCTGTTCCCCATCTCTCTCCCACTTCTCAAGTGTCTTACTCCCTGAGACACAACAATATTGGAATTGGCTAATTAATAACCCCACAATGCCCTCTGTCTAAATGAAGGGAAGAGTTGCCTGTCTCTCACTTTAAATAGAAAGCTAGAAATGATTAAGCTTAGTGAGGAAGGAATGTTGAAAGCTGAGATAGACTGAAAGCTAGGCCTCTTGTGCCAAACAGCCAAGTTGGGAATGTAAAGGAAATGTTCTTAAAGGAAGTTTAAAGTGCTATGTCAGCCAACACACAAATGATAAGAAAGCAAAACAGCCTTTTGCTAACAGGGAGAAAGTTTGAATATTCTGGATAGAAGATCAAATCAGCCACAAAATTCCCTTCAGCCAAAGCCTAATCCAGAGCAAGGCCCTAACTCTTCAATTCTGTGAAGTCTAAGAGAAGTAAGGAAGGTGCAGAAGAAAAGTTGGAAGCTAGCACAGGTTGGTTCATGAGGTTTAAGGAAAGAAGCTGTCTTCGTAACATAAAGATGCAAGGTGAAGCAGCAATTGCTGATATAGAAGCTGCGGCAGATTACCCAGAAGATCTAGCTACGATCACTGATAAAGATGTCTACACTCAACAACAGATTTTCAATGGAGATGAAACAGCCTTCTGTTGGCAAAAGATACCTTGTAGGAGTTTCATAGCTAGAGAGAAGTCAGTGCCTGGCTGCAACGCTTCAAAGGCCAGGCCAACTGTCTTGTTAGGGGCTAATGCAGCTGGTGACTAAGTTGAAGCCAGAGCTCATTTACCATTCTGAAAAATCCTAAAGCCGTAAGAATTCTGCTAAATCTGCTCTGTGATCTAGAAATGGAACAACACAGTCTGGATTACAGCTTATCTGTTACAGCATGGTTTACTGAGTATTTTTAGTCCACTGTTGAAGTCTACTGCTCAAAAAAAAAAAAAAAAGAAAAAAGAAAAAACCAACCAAACAAAAAAACCAAAAAACAAATATTCCTTTCAAAATATTACTGCTCATTGACAATGTGCCTGCTCACCCAAGAGCTCTGATAGAGAGGTACAAGGAAATGAATGTTTTCATGGCTGTTAACGTAACATCCATTCCGAAGCCCATGGATCAAGGTGTAATTTCAACTTTCAAGTCTTACTATTCAAGAAGTATATTTTGTAAGGCTAGAGCTGCCATTGTTAGTGATTCCTCTGATGGATCTGGGCAAAGTAAATTGAAAACCTTCTGGAAAGGGTTTATCATTGTAGGTTAAGAACATTCATGATTCATGGGAGGAGGTCAAAATGTCATTAATAGGAGTTCGGAAAAAGTTGATTCCAACTTTCATGGGTAACTTTGAGGAGTTCAAGATGTCAGTGGAGGAAGTCACTGCATACATGGTGGAAATAGTAAGAAAACTAGAATTAGAAGTGGGGCCTGAAGATGTGACTAAATTGTTGCAATCTCCTGATGAAACTTGAACAGAAGAGGAGTTGCTTCTTATCTCGATGAGCAAAGAAAGTGGTTTCTTGAGATGCAAGCTACTCCTGGTGAATATTCTGTGAACATCGTTAAAATGACCACAAAGGATTTAGAATATTTCATAAACTTAGTTGATAAAGCAGCAACAGGGTTGGAGAGGATTGACTCCAACTTTGAAAGACGTTCTAATGTGGGTAAAATGCTATCAAACTGCGTCTCATGCTACAAAGAAATATTTTGTGAAAGGAGGAGTTGATTGATACAGCAAACTTCATTGTTGACTTACTTTAAGAAATTATGACAGCCACCCCAGCATTCAGCAATCACCACCAGTCAGTAGCCATCACCATTGAGGTAAGACCCTCCACCAGCAAAAAGATAATGACTTGCTGAAAGCTGAGGTGATCAGTAACTAAGATATTTTAAAGTTAACTAATGTACTTTTAGATATAATGCTATTGCACACTTAATAGACTGCAATATAGTGTAAACAAAACTTTTATATGCACTGGTAAGCTAGAAAATTCATGTGGCTTTCTTTATTGTGGTGGTCTGAAACAGAACCTGCAATATCCCCAGGGTATTCCTGTATGATCTTATGGAACCACTGCTGGACATTGTGGTCTGCTGTTGTTGACTGAAATGTCTCATGCAGCACATAACTGTAATACAGTGGCGGGGGAATGGCGGCTGTATGTTTGGAGGAGGCATAAATGAAACAAAATTGGTCAAATGTTGCTAATTGTTGAACTGGGTGGAGAATACATAGAATTTCATGTCTACTATAAATTCCTACCATAAAATTTCACCATAAATATAAATTCCTACTATAAATAATACATGGAATTTCATTCCTACTATTAATGAAGGTAGGCTTTTCCTACTTTGTCATTCTTTCTACCTCTATATATGCTTGAAAGTTTCTTTAATAAAAGTTAAACAAAATGACAAGACCAGGCTCTGTAACCATGTGACAATATGCTTTAATGCAGTGAACTGCAGAACAGCCTCATGGTGAGATTTGTAGGTCTTCTCACTTTTGTTAAAAGGACTCAGGAGTTGTGTTCCATATGTTTGTAGCATTAACACCCTTGTGAAGATCAGCAAAAGTGCGGGAGCCATGTTGAAACCACATGCACCAAAACTCATTCCAGCTCTGCTAGAGTCCTTGAGTGTATTGGAGCCCCAAGTTCTCAATTATTTGAGCCTCCGGGCAACAGAGCAAGAAAAGGTGAGTGGAGAGCCCTGTTAAGATACCAAGGTTCATTTGAATGACATTGTCACTACTCTTACCAGAACTCACCCTGTCTCACCACATGCAGTGTTTTACTATTTTTTGGAGAGAGGTTGTCAGCTCATACACTGTTTTGTGAATTGGATGAAAACTGACACTTCTATCTAAAAAATGAATTAACATTTGTTTAACATAGTTTTTTGTACATTTCAATTTTTGGGGGGCTTGGATCTATACCTTCAGAGTCCTTCCATGGACTCCCTCGCCCTGTAAGCAAAGAGTATTTGCACCTAGACTTTGGCATATCTCAAAATCATTCTGCTTTGTAGGTGTAATGGAGTCACCTAGTCTCTGATCAAAGTCTTTTTTTTTTTTTTTTGGAGACGGAGTCTTGCCCTGTCACCCAGGCTGGAGTGCAGTGGTGCCATCTCAGCTCACTACAACCTCTGCCTCCCGGGTTCAAGCAGTTCTCCTGCCTCAGCCTCCCGAGTAGCTAGGATTACAGGCATGCACCACCACGCCCAGCTGATGTTTTTGTATTTTTGGTAGAGACGGGGTTTCACCGTGTTAGCCAGGATGGTCTCGATCTCCTGACCTCGTGATCTGCCTACCTCGGCCTCCCAAAGTGCTGGGATTACAGGCGTGAGCCACCGCGCCCGGCCTGATCAGTCATTTTTAAAAACTGCAGATGAGACATGTTTATTGTGAAAAGTTAATACAGAAGGATAGAAAGTAATCCCACAGGAGGTCTCCCCATCACCACAGTATCATTCCCTGAGAAGCACCTGCTATCAGAAGTTTCCTGTGCCTTCTCTCAAATTCCTTTTTAATCATAGGCTACCGAACCAAGCAAACATACTAATTTAAAAATAGTATCAGACTGTGAATGTCGTTATGTGATTTGTTTTTTAAATTAATAGAATATCATGTCTATATATACACATTCTTTTTAATGTATACATAGTGCTCTACATGAGGTGATTTTGAATTTTTGGTGGAGAGGTTTTGCAACATCAAAGGTTTTAATTGTTCTTTTTTCTCCGTACCTTTGCCACTGTTGAATAATGTTTATCTGATAACAAGAATCTCATTTTTCTAATTTGCACTCTTTTCCTAGCATTGTCCATTGCCTTTTCATATCGTATTAGTCATTTATATTTCTTCTGTGATTGTGTTTATATTCCATGCCTATTTTTCTATTTGACTTTTTAATTTACTTTTTTTATTAGAACTATTAAACACTGTTATATACAACATATTTCCTCTGTTCACCATTTGCTTTTTAACTTGCCTAAACTTCTCTAATAACTTACTCTCTTTACCCTTTGCCTCTAATATTGCTGCTGCTTATTTATTCATTATTTTTCCCTCTTTCAGCAGTAGACTTGCCCCTTCCTGGGTGTCCATAGAATGTTTACTAAGCATTGAGAATTTGGAAACATAAATTCTAGTCTAAACTTTGCAGCCCTAGGCAAGTCACTTGTGTATGACTTACTTTTCTCCTTTGTCATATCTGGATAGTATTAACCTCTCCTTCAGCATAGTTGTTAGATTAAAATACCTTTGTAGATATGAAGGTTGATTACAAAGTTAAAGAACTACCCGTATAAAATTTTTTACTGCTTAGACACAATTTTAAAAACCTTAGAAATTTATTTAGTCAGTTCCTTTATTTAGTGGATGGAGAACCTCAGGCTCAAGAAGGCTGGATGACTTGCCCACAGCCATACTATGCTAATTTCTTAACTATTATCTGAATTTTTCGCCTGTAGTGAGGTGCTGCTTCTCCTGGTAAATTGTTGAGTATAGGTCAAAAGAAATTAGAGTTAGACTTAATGTGTGCCTTTGTTATAGCTATGGATTATTTTTTTTTTAAAGTTCTGTAATTTGGAAGTGAAAGTCTTTTATGGTGTGTGTGTGGATTATTCCTAATTAATTGAATGTGCCGAGTGACTTGAATTTCTGTTCTTTAGGCTGCGATGGATAGTGCTCGGCTTAGTGCTGCCAAATCCTCTCCGATGATGGAAACAATCAACATGGTGAGTGTCTTAAATAATGAGAGGGTTTGCTTACCTGATGCAGTGAGCTGAGATCCGGCCACTGCACTCCAGCCTGGGCTACAGAGCGAGACTCTGTCTCCAAAAAAAAAAAAAAAAAAAGAAAGTGTAATTCTTCAAAGTCTTCAGGCTATGTTAAATGAAGTAGAGACTTTTGGGATGAGTCGAGCAGCTGTTGTGACTCCAGTTTTTTCTTAGTATATTTCTCTTTTCTTCTCTGTCACTAAGTGGAATAAATAGTTCCCCAAATACCAGAAACAGTCGGTCCAAATTTGTGTTACAAGGGACAACAACATATTAAGAGCTCTGTATAAATTTACATCTGTAGTCTTTTGATCTGTGTATTTAGAAAGGTTCAGAGTTGTGCCTGTGCCTAATAGTTATCTTTGGGAGGAACTAGGAAAGTTATAAGCTGGAGGTATTTAATGAAGTAGGTAACATAAAGGTAGGTGAAGAGATTGGGCAATGTCGATATGTTGTTTTAGTCATAGGAAGGCATTTGCAGTAAAGAGCTGCTTGGCACTCTCAGGTTCTGATTTCTAAAGTTCCTGGAGTCTTGGTAAAGTTACTCTGTTGTGTACTCCCGGTAGTGGTTAGTTAGCTATGATTGTGTTTACTGGAAATTAGTTTGCTAAGCAGATCTATACCTTTAGCAGGACTCTGAAGATACAGATCCAACCCCTAAAAAAATTGAAATGTACAAAAAACTACGTTAAACTGGACAAGAGAAGTAGTTATGTTTTAGTACCTGTTGGGGGACTGTTACCAAAATTTGGTCTAAGAATGTTGTATCTTTGTTGGATTATTGGGGGGAAATAAAAATTTAAAGAAATAGAAATAGTTAGTGAATACCATTTAGTTATATTCATTATTAATAGAAAACATGTTAATTGCATTTTCAAAAATAAAAGCCAGCAATTTATAGGAAAATTCATCTAAGAAATTGACTCATTAGAGGGGATTTGGTAGGGTAGGCCCACTGTAGAAGGTCAATTTTTAGTTTAGGTTTTTTATACTAAACATGGATTGATAAAGAGGAAGTAGGCTCGGAAAGATTCTTTATTCTTGAGTAACCATTATTTTCTTTTTTAGCAAATTGATGTTTTTCATTTTTTGGTTTGTTTTTAGTGTTGAATCACTGATGAATAATTTTTCTGTTTGTAGTACAGTGGTGGTTTTAATATTGAAATTAGAGCAGAATCAAACAGTGATTTTTCAACTTCGTGTCAAATCCAGTGGGTACATGTTTGACAAGGGCAGTTTTTAATTGAAGATGTGGTCCTGACTTATTTGCCAAGGCTTACCTTTATATTTGTCCTTTTTCAAAAGTGCCTGCAATATCTTGATGTGTCGGTGCTGGGCGAGCTAGTTCCTAGGTTGTGTGAACTGATCAGAAGTGGTGTAGGTCTTGGAACTAAGGTAAGTGTACTTTTCACAAGAAGAAATGTGCATCTTCGTTAGTTTTGGCCATAAGGATATAACAGCCATCATGTTTGAAATTCATGTTTTACCACAAAATCTAATATTATTATACACTAACCATTTTATTTCTGTGGTTGCACCGATAACTGAAAACATGTAACTGTTCCAGTAAGTATTGTCTTAACTTACTTAGTGGAATCATTTCTGTTCTCTGGGTGCCATGTATGTACCCTCTAGGTTGTCATTCATTAGCAGTTCATGGAAATGCGCATCCAGTTATTAGGGCATGGATTGTTTTAGGTGGCAATTGGATTTTTCACAGAGGGGTCAGCAGTGTTTGAACAGAAAAATGTCTTCGTTTTCAAGATCTTTGAAGGATCAGACGCCCCCCTGCCCACCACCCTTTTAACAACAAATTAATAACTCACATTTTTTCTTATGATAAAATTAACACTTGCTGGTATTTTAAAATTTTAGCATTTATAGATTAGGAAAAAGTTAAAAATTGTCCAGAATTTTGCTATACAGAGATAACTGCTGTTAGTATTTTGGAGTGTTTCCTTCCGGTCTTTTCTGCACATGTATCTTCTGCAATGTCCTCTTCTAATGGCCCTGTGATACTCCACTGTATGGATGTAACATCATTTATTTTATTCCATCAGGGAACATCTGACTTGTTTTCAGTTTTTGAAAAATTAGTAAAGCACCGTGATGCTTAATGTTGATGAGGCATACCTGAAGATATTTGGTTAAATTTCTAGAAATGGAAATGTTAGCCCAGTGATGGACAAGATGACATATTTTGCTTTTCCAGAAGATTGTACCAGTTTTCTTTCTTTTTCACAATGTCTAAGATCACCCATGTTTCTCTTGGGAGTTTAAAAAATAAAATCTCTGCATTACTAGTTTAAGAGTTTTCCTTTTTCTGTATTGAATCCTGGAGGGGGTATTAGGTTTCATGTATTTTATATGTTTAAATTTTTGGCACCTAAGCCAGTGGTTTGGTAGGTAGAACATTGTGACCATCAGATTTAGACCTTTGCTTTTGTAATCCTGTAGGGTGGCTGTGCCAGTGTCATTGTGTCATTAACTACTCAGTGTCCTCAGGACCTAACACCTTACTCAGGTGAGTTTGTCAAGTGATGTGTGGTGATATTTTTGCACGGCCCTGTCTTGTGTGACAGAGTTTTAAAAAGGAAAAATAATTATCATTCAGACCTGCTTGTGATGCTGTGTGCCTTTTCTCCCTTCAGTCCCCTGGCCCCTTCATTTCCTTGTCTGCAGGAAGTGCAGGGTTTATCAAGTTTAGCAACTTTTCACTGTTCATAAACGTTTGATTGTTCCTTAGTGGTATATGGAGGTAAAAGTATCCTCTATTCCAGAGGACTTACCATTGATAGCTGATTTTATGTCAGCATTTTTCTCTTCTTAGATTGGTTTCTAGACTGAGCTAATGTTCTTTATATACCTGGCTCTCATTTTTGCAAAGTTTTCCACGATATTCTGGTTTAATTTTAACTTTATATGAGGTGAAAGGAAGCAAATGGATATATAAATATAACATTCAGAAATCTATACTGTGGAGGAAATCAGATGTTAATTATAGGGTTAGGTTTGTTTGGGTTCTGGGAACAGAGTGGAACATTTGGTCAACCAAGTATCAGATTTTTTCTCTTTATTTCTGGTAGGTAAACTTATGAGTGCTTTGCTTAGTGGCCTGACAGATCGGAACAGTGTGATTCAGAAATCTTGTGCATTTGCCATGGGCCATTTAGTTCGGGTGAGTTAAATTTCTTGCTTAGTTAAATAAAACTCTGACAGTTATAAAGAAATACTTAGGATTGTTTCTTTTTCAGACTTCACGGGATAGCAGCACTGAAAAACTCCTGCAGAAGCTCAGTGGGTGGTATATGGAGAAAGAAGGTACCTTTCTTTTTCTATTTTATGTCATTTTAAATTTAGATGTTAACAGCCCAGTAAAACAGTACAAATTAGGTCTTACCCTCCATGATTTTATGTGATTTGCTAGAAACATTTGTTTCTTTCCTTTTCTTTTTTTTTTTGAGATGGTGTCTGGCTTTGTCGCTGAGGCTGGAGTGCAGTGGTGCTATCTCAGCTCACTGCAACCTCAGCCTCCTGGGCTCAAGCGATTCTTGTGCCTCAACCTTCTGAGTAGCGGGGACTACAGGCACGTGCCACCACACCTGGTTAATTTTTGTATTTTTTGTACAGATGGGGTTTCGCCATGTTGCCCAGGCTGGTCTTAAACTCCCGAGCTCAAGCTATCTGCCCACCTTGGCCTCTCAAAGTGCTGGGATTACAGGTGTGAGCCACCACAACCCAGCCTGCTAGAAACATTTCTAATTGATTTTACCTATTTGTTTTGCTATTGTATGAGTTGAACAATAGCCTATTTAGATCAGTTACCCTTAAAAACAATAAATATCATAAAGATTTTGGTTTCTCCTTTTCAGAACCTATCTACAAGACCTCTTGTGCTTTGACTATTCATGCTATTGGACGATACAGCCCTGATGTGTTAAAGAATCATGCAAAAGAAGTCCTGCCTCTGGCATTTTTAGGCATGCATGAAATTGCTGATGAGGAAAAATCCGAAAAAGAAGAATGTAATTTATGGACTGAAGTGTGGCAGGAAAATGTACCTGGTTAGTAGTGTGACCTGAGTTAAACCTGCTTCTTAGGAATCACAGCTAGAATTTTTTACTTGCATTCATTTTTCATAAACTCCTCTAAAGTTACTTTCCCAGGACCTTAATATGCACCCATCCCAATTGCTGAGTTCTCAAGGTTGGCACTTAGGATTTTTGTCTTTACTCATTCCTCACTGTCCACATGAGAGAATACAAACTCTGTGAGCAAGGAGAGCTTTACATTTTTAATTGAGAGTGTGATTTTATGTGGCCTTAGACTATTTTAGAGTGGTTTTCCAAATGTGTTTTTCACCTTGTTACATATTAATGGGTGATGCCCATTTGTGTGATACGTTCCTGTGGGTACCTAAGTTCGTAAAGTTCTACAATTGTGAGAGTAAGTCACAACACCATCACACTTTCTCTCCCTTTGAGAGAGTGGTGTGTTTTAACAGTTGAGAATCACTGCTTTTAGACTGTTGGTCACTGACTCTTTTTCAGACTTAGAAAAATCAGTTAATTTTTCTTGTCACTTAAAAGTTGTTTTAATTTTGCTTTCCTAGGTTCTTTTGGTGGCATTCGATTATACCTGCAGGAGTTAATTACTATTACCCAGAAGGCTTTGCAGTCTCAGTCTTGGAAAATGAAAGCCCAGGGTGCAATTGCCATGGCATCAATTGCAAAGCAAACTAGCTCTCTAGTACCTCCATATCTCGGAATGATACTGACCGCATTGCTGCAAGGCCTGGCTGGAAGAACGTGGGCAGGAAAGGTAAAGGAACCATTCATGCCCAGTTAAAGGGATTCTGACTTCATCTTTCATTTCATATAATAATAAGGGTCTGGTTTTGTGTAACTTCTGATGGATTATTTTTGTGAACCAGATTTCCTAGACGGTGGAGCTTTGGGTAAACCTTGCCCAATTAACTGTGGTATTTCCTCTGAAACTGGAACCCACGTGGCCTTGCATAATGGACAGTAATGCTGGAGATAGATACATTTTTCATATTCAGCCTTCCAAGTTATGTCTTAAACCAACTTGTCAGCATTTTGTACCTGTTGACCTTATGAACAGATCAGGATTGAGCATAAAAAGATCAGGATTGGGCCCGTGTGACATAGAGTAGCAAGGTAGGCTGCTTCTAAACCTGGGGCTGAAGATGCCCATCTCTGGGACCTATGAATTAGTAACAGTTATTTTTTTACACAGGGGCTTTAGTAGGATTCTTACAGTGAACACTCAGTGGGGAACATGAGATTGTGGCAACATAATGATCTTTATGTTGTAAAGGTCAACAGTGGCCCATGCGGTACTGAAGTAGTACTGGACTGGGAGTCAGACATCATTCTAATTCTGTGGTTGACACTGTTGTCTGTGAGACCTGGGTCAAATCAGTTCTTTAGGCTTCTACGAAATGGAGGTGAAGATGATTATCCTGCGTCCATGGTTTGGAGTAAAACTTGGTGGATGTGCTTAAAATTATGCATTAAAGATGAGGTGACAATTGTTAATTTTTGCTGTCACAGTTATCAGAAATTCCTAAGGTAATTATAATCATAGTGTAGAGAGTGTAAATGACATGTTTGGGATTAATAGTATGTCCTCATCTTTCACCCCCTTAGGAAGAGCTGTTGAAAGCCATTGCCTGTGTGGTGACAGCTTGCAGGTAAATGTTCTTTCAATGAGGATGCCATTTCTTAAACTGAACCTGAAAGCTGCAGCCTTTATTAACTTCTGATGCTTTTTTATGGATCCTGTAGTGCAGAGCTGGAAAAGTCTGTGCCCAATCAACCCAGCACAAATGAAATTCTTCAAGCTGTTCTGAAGGAATGTAGCAAAGAGAATCTCAAATACAAGATTGTAGCAATCAGCTGTGCAGCTGATGTCTTGAAGGCCACCAAAGAAGACAGATTCCAGGAGTTTTCTGACATTGTCATACCTCTCATCAAGAAGGTAATACCACCTGTATCCTCAGTTCTGGTTTATACTTTAAAAAGAAAGAGTTAAAACATTGTTTTCCCCTATGTCCTGATGATTAGGATTAGTTTAGCTGCAAGTAGCAGAGAAATTCCAAAATATGGCCTTAAACAAGATAGACAGTGCTATGTTTCTCATGTAGCATTGGGAGCATCACAAAGCGTTCAGGTATTCCGGCTCTTTACATCTCCCAACTCTGCCATTTCTAGGGTGGAGTCATCATCCTCAAGGTCCACAGTGTATGTGTGTTCCAGGCAGGAATGCAGAGGAGGTGAAGCAAGGATGAAGGATCACAGTGGGCATGCCAGTTCTCTCTTGAGGAGAGTTCCTGGGCACCGCTAGATGGCACTTTGACTTATATCCATCCCGTTGCTCAGTACTTAGCACACCTGGCAGCAGACTGAGTCTTCATTCTGGGTGTCCATTTTCCCTCCATGGGAGAAGCAGAGAGTGGATTTGGTAGTGAATGAACAGTTTATGTCATAATAAGCTTTGGCTTAGCTAATAAGCTAAGCCACCCCAGCCATCCTAGAATAAAGGCAAGAAGCTCAGTGTGTCATGTGAATTGCCTCTGCCATATAGTGGAGGATTTGGGTCAAAAAAATAACCACTCAGGTTTCATGTGGAAAATGGAATACTCAGTTTTAAAAGTTGGGCACTGGTCCAAAAAAAAGAAAAAAAGAGTGTGGTTTCCCTATTTGTGAAACATGAAATATTTTAAGTAACATTCTTATTTCTTATTGCTGCTAATTTGCAGTTGTTTTCTTTCAGTAATAAGGCTATTTAAATAATTTCTATTACAAACATAGTGATAGCATATGGATTTAGGAGACTTGTATTTTAAGTTGACGACATCACTAGCGAGCTGGACCAGTTGCTTCTCTTAGCCTCTGTTTTCCTATCTATCAAGAAAAAGTTTGGATTTATTCAGATCGTTACTGAGTTTCTTCCATCTTTAATACCTGATTCTCATGCAGATCTCACGTTATGCTCAAAAGACTACATATGCAGTATTTTTTAGCTTTTGTTTACAGATTCCTGTAAAGTATTTCCTAAATTTATTAGAGACACAGTATTCTGGTTATAAATCCTTGTCGTAAATGGGGAAGCTTATGGTAGAGAATTTACTGTTTAACTCTTGGTTAATAGCTCTTGCCCTAGTACTCTGATTGGTTTAATAGCATACCTGTAACTTTGAAGAAGAAAATATTAAATTTTATTTTCTTTGATATATCCTAGAATTCACTTGAAAGTAGTGGGGTCCAGACAACCAAAAATGAAGATGAGAATGAGAAGGAAAAGGAGCTCCAGCTGGAATATCTGCTGGGTGCCTTTGAAAGCCTGGGCAAAGCCTGGCCCCGAAACGCAGAGACCCAACGTAAGCACCAGAAACCGCATTTGAAGAAGTGCTGTAACCAGAGGTTACTTAATGAGAGCAAAGGTTTTCTGTATGACAAAGTATAGTTATTGTTTCTTATCGAGCCTGATTGATTAGTAATGAGAATTACTCAGTGGAAATTTTTTGTGTACGTGAGCATATCACCTCACTGATCAGTGTACCATTGCAGCGAGGGCTGCTGTAAGAAAGTATCACGGACTGGGTGGCTTAGCAGAAATTTATTTTCTCACAATTCTGGAGGATGGAAGTCTGAGCTTTTGAGATCAAGGCATCGTCAGCAGGGTTAGTTTCTTCTGAGACCTTGGCTTGGGAATGGCTGTCTTCTCCGTGTGTCTTCACATGATCTTTGTTGTCTCTGTGTCTTAATCACCTCTTCCTGTAATGACACCAGACACACTGTATTAGGGCCCACTCACAGGACCTCTTTAAAGGGTCTGTCTTCTATCTAATAATAATACAGTAACATTCTGAGGTACTGGGGGATAGTATTTCAACATATGAACTTTGGGGGCATAGTTCCACCTATAATAACCATGATACATTTTATGCAGAGAGTTTGATAGAAGAGTTCTGCTGATCTTCTTGATGATCATTTGGAGGAATCCACAAAGTTTATTAGTGGGGTCTCTTTATCCTAAAATGAATGGCCGTGTTACCAAGTGTTCAGTAAGCACTTGAAATCCTTGTTTCAGTGAAAAACTCACTACTGGACGATTTTCAGAACTGGACATGTATTTCCCAAAGATTAAATCAATAGTAAACCTTTATTATTGGATGAGGTTGCAGTTAGTTTCGAGTCCCCTGATAGGGCCTTAACCTTGGGATGATACTACCCTTTACACTGGATCTTAGCCAAAAGGCCAAGAAGTGATGATGCTACCCTTTAAGCTTGCCTTGGGTTGGGTCCTACAGTGCGTCCCGCTGAAGATCTTAGTGTGTGTGTCTACATATATATATATATATATATTTTTTTTTTTTTTTTTTTTGGAGACAGGGTCTTGCTCTGTTACCCAGGCTGGAGTGCAATGGTGCAGTCCCTGCAGCCTTTACGTCCAGGGCTCAAGTGATCTTCCTGCCTCAGCCTCCCAAGTATTTGGGTATACAGGTGCATGCCGTGACACCTAGCTAGTTTTTTGTTTTTTTTGTTTTTGAAGAGGTGAGGTCTTGCTATGTTGCCCAGGTTGGTCTCAAACTCCTGGGCTCAAGTGATCCTCCCACTTTGGCCTCCCTCCTGAAGTGCTGGGATTTATAGGTATGAGCCTCCATGCCAAGCAACAATATTACTGAATGTTATTAAAAAAGGTATTGTTGAGTATTTGTAATTGGATATGTCTAGAATCAGAGTTAAGGTTCTCTTTGAGCCCTGTCAGCCTTTGAGTGAACTTATGTATTTGCTGTGTTTATAGGAAGAGTTTCCCAGAAGATACAAATTTGCAAGTGGTTTTATTTCTTAATATTATACACTGCAGTGGAAGTCCACTAATATGACGCTATAAAGACTGTTACACTTTTCCTTGATAGGTGGAGACAGCTAAGGTAGGGAATTGTATGAGAAAGTTGATACAAACATAAAGCAGTTTATTTTAATATAAGATGTAGAAGGTTGTTAATAGAAAAGTGCATTTATTGTGAACCAAGGCCTTTTCTTTAGGAACTTAACTGTTACGCATTGGCTTCTTACGTATATCTACAATTTCTGGGTTTTGTTTCTTTAAAATAGAGAAATTTCAAGCTCTTATGAGACAATTCTAGTGCAGAATTCTAGATTTTTTCCCCCATTTTTACATTTGTTTGAGCCCTACAAAATCCTACAGTAATTAAAAACAATTTCGTTCTTAAGTTTTCTGCTGGTTCATCAGTTGGCATAATATTGATTATATAATTATAATTACAGTTGCGCTTGGCATAACAGGTTTATAAGAAAGCACTGTTGACTCTTGGCAAACCTGCAATTTGCAGAGGCTTGTGAGCATCTAGAGAGGAGCTCCTGGCCTCCAGAGTTCTCCTTTCTTTGGCTGTCATTCAGGGAGTTTTGAGGGGCAAAGGGGGTGTGGTTAAAGTGCTTTCTCAGTTCCATGGAGAACCATATGCCTTGAAAGTGAATATTTGTAAACAATTATATTGTACCTTTGTGGGGGCAGTTTCTGATCAAGGAAATTTGTTTGGGGATTGAGTACAAAGTCATGCTGAAGGTTTTGGAGAAATTTCAATGGCTTTAATTAAAAATATTTATTGTTTTATTTCTCTTTTTCCTGCTTTTCTCTCCCTTATCCTCCCTGCCTTCTCTCTTTCTCTGTCCCTCTGCCTTTCTCTTGCTCTGTCTGTCCCTCATTTATTCCATCTCTTGCTCTTTTATACTCTCTCCTGCTGTGTCCCACCTTGTCCAGGTTGTTATCGTCAGGAGCTGTGCAAACTGATGTGTGAACGGCTAAAACTCAGCACGTGGAAAGTGCAGCTAGGAGTCTTACAATCAATGAATGCCTTTTTTCAGGGGTAAACTGCTTCATGGTTCAGTTTTTTATTTTGTTCCCCCCACCCCTGCAGCATTTTATATATAATCAGTGGAATTTTTATACATTTAAAAACTAGTAGCTAAAGTGACAATGATACATACAGACAGAAATTGTGACAGGAAAGTTTTAGACTGTTTCTTAATAATTAGCATTTGTACCTTGCTTTCTGATTTGTATAGGTTAATGCTTTTGGAAGAAGAATATGCAGATCCTGAGGCTTTGGCTGAAATTCTGCTTGAAACTTGTAAATCAATCACATATTCTTTAGGTGAGTGTAGTAAACTAAAACTGACGAGGGAGTCCTAATTTTAAAGCTAAGGAGCCGAGCTTCAAATATTTCCTACCTTGTCTTAGGAACTAAATTTCTGAAACAGCTACTGGACTCTGCTACTTAATATACTCCGTGTGTACCCCTTAACTGGAATATTTAAATCTGGAACTATAACAGGATTTTAGCATCTAGTTTAGAAAAACCTTCGTGACAAGTATTTTTACAAAATTGTTATTTGAAAGTAAATTCAAACTTACACGATGGTTGCAACGACAGTACATTTAATACTCTGCAATATGTATACACTTTACCCAGAATCATCTGTTAACATTTTGTGCCATTTGCTTTGTCATTTGGACTTCTGTATACATGTTTTTCTCCTGAACCATTTGAAAGTATGTTGCTTACATCAGGCCCCCTTTTTCCTCAGTTATTTAGTGTGCCACAGTACCATTGTCAACTTTAGGTAGTAAACATGGATGCAGTTTTTTAAATCAAATGTTTATTGTTCATACTGTAGTTTGTTCAGTTGATTCGGTAATGTTCTTTATTTTTATTTTTACTTTTTGAGACAGAGTCTCGCTCTGTCACTCAGGCTGAAGTGCAGAGGTGTGATCTCAGCTCACTGCAACCTCCACCTTCCAGGTTCAAGCAATCCTCCTGCCTCAGTCTCCCAAGTAGCTTGGATTACAGTTACTATCACACCTGGCTAATTTTTATATTAATTGTAGAGACAGGGCTTCACTGTGTTGGCCCAGGGTGTTCTCGGACTCCTGAGCTCGAGCAATCCACCTGTCTTGGCCTCCCAAAATACTGGAGTTATAGACATGAGCCACCACACCCAGCCAGTAATGTTCTTTATAGGATTGTTTTTTTTTCCCTCCCCTTCATTAGGGAATCCAGTCCAGGATGATGATGATGATGATGATTATTAATATTATTTTTGAGACAGGGTCTGCTCTGTCACCCAGGCTGGAGTGCAATGGTGCGATCTTGGCTCACTGCAGCTCTGCCTCCTGGGTTTAAGTGATTCTCCTGCCTCAGTTTCCCAAGTAGCTGGGCTTACAGGTGTGTGCCATCAAGCCTGGCTAATTTTTGTACTTTTCATAGAGACGGGGTTTCACCATGTTGGCTAGTCTTGGTCTCAAACTCCTGACCTCACGTGATCTGCCCGCCTTGGCCTCCAATTCATAATTATTTATTGAATTTTGTTGTCATATATTTTTAGTCTCCTTCAATCTGGAATACTTTGTCAATCTTTCTTTGTCTTAGGACATTGACAATTTTGAAGAATAAAGTCCCTTTTTGAAAAAAACAGTGTTTCTCATTTGGTGTTTGATGTTTTCTCATGATCAGATCCAGGTTATGAATTCCCAGTTGGGATACTTACATAAGTGATATGTCCTCACATTAAGAGGCACACACAGTGTCCATCTGTTATCATTTGTGATGTTAATTTTGATTACCTGGTCAAGGTACTATCAGTTTTTCTCTAATGGCTAGTTACTATATTTTCCTTTTGTGTCTAATAAGTAGCCTGTGGGAACAGACCTTAAGATCGTTCAAATAATGTTTATCTTCTTTACAATCTCTTCTCTATATTTAGCATGCATTGATGATTCTTCCCTGAACCAGTTTTTACTAAGATGATTTTGCAACTCTAGCATTTTGTCCACATTCACCATTTGATAGTTGGAATTCTATTGTAAGCAAGATTCTTCTCTTCTGCCCATCTTTTTATTTATCTGTTACTGGCATTGATTCATGGATTTCTTTCCCCCTTCAAAGGGTTTATAATTTAAGTTTTTAAATCTTAATTTGTTACTCAAATTGTCCCAGATTTGGCCAGTGGAAGCCCTTTCAAGCTGACTCCTGTGTCATTTTGACAGGTCACTGTCACTGTAGCACTTCTGTACTTCATAGCATAACAAGATTAAGGCCCATCTCATGCCTACCCTGCTTTGGGCTTGGTTGTATGTTGATTTTTTTGGTAGACAATTTCACCGTGAATCAGATGCCATGTCAAAGAGTGGATGCCAAGGAAGCATGCTTCAGTTGCAGTTGCTGGCAGTAACATGCTTTTATGGATAAAGAACTGGCGGCCAACAGACTTGTCTTTGCTGGGTTCCAGGTTTCCCTGATCGGCTTAAACACTGGGTCGTATAATGTTCTTTGGTAAAATGAGGAGGGTCATGCAGACCTAAGGATCGTTCTTATGTGTGATGTGAAGATGATTTTGTGTTTGAGATAGTTTTTTCATCTTCCACTTCTAAAATGGATCATTTAAATATTACCATTTGTTGTGGTGATTGGTATACTTGGCTGACAGGTTTTTGTTTTCCCAAAGTAGGAGACTATGTACATTAGCACATTTCAAGTATTTGATACTTAGCAAAGGGAAGCTTCCTTTAAAACATAACAAAACAAAAAACCAGATGTACCCTTCCCTAGAGTTGTAATTTCTGGACATCTTTCTTTCAGTAACACAAATTTAATCTTGGAGGTTGTGTTTTTCAGGCAGGCCGTATAAACTGTATGATTTTTCTTTTTAGAAAATAAGACCTACTCATCTGTGAGAACAGAAGCTTTATCTGTGATAGAATTGCTGCTTAAAAAACTTGAAGGTAAGTTGTTGTTAGTTCTGACTGGAGGACCACAAAGCCATGTGGCATATGTTTTAGAAATTTTTTGTTTCATTTTTCTTATACTCTAAGCATATACTCTGAAATACAAATCAGTATGTATGCACATGCAATAAGAATGGACAAAGCCAAAACTATTAAATTTTACTAAATATTTAAATTTGATATTCTTTTATATATTTTTAATATATTATTAAGCTATAGTTGTCTTAAAGTAATAAAGTTTTTGTTTTCATCGGGAATCCTGACTTAATCTTGGTTAATTAGAGGAAGTGGTTGACAGTGGCATGTGTGCATGTAAATAAGCAGAACGGCACACTGAAAAGTGGAGTTGGAAAAACATTTTTAACAGTTATCTACCTGAGTCATCAAATCTGGTAGTAGCAATTTTCTTAATCCTACTTCTTCTCCCCTAACCTGTTTTTCTTCTAATGGTCTATCAGTGGGCAGGGTACGGGGAACTGTTAGCATTTTCTCCAGTGGTGTATCTGTTACTGATTTCAGAAGGAGGACTGTCTTCTTTTTTTTCCTGTCTCTCAAATTGTTTTAACTTCATGGATTAAGAATGTAGGAGATGGAAACGTTTTTCCTGCAACCTTGTGTGTTTGCTCTTTCTACTTCTCTATCTTTGCTTAGCAATTAAAACACCTCTCTTAGGGCTCCATCAGACAGAACTTTTAGACTCAGTAACACTAAACATCTCCCGATCCCTTTTTTCCTTGTTGAGATAAAAGAGCTAGGCACTTAAGTCATATTACCAAATTCTCAGTTTGCCAGATACGTACTAATATAGTCCAGATGAGGAACATGAGGCTGAAGGCAAGCTAAACTTGCTTGAAGCCACATGGCTAGAAAGTGGCAAAACCTTGTAAACAAGATTTAAGATTTGACATACTTTCTTATTTTCTAAAATTTTCAGTGTGCATGTAATAGTTCTCAGATGCCTTACTCAAAGAAAAGGGAGTGTCATCTACTTAATCTGACCTTGCAATTATGAAATTTCTTACAAGTTTTTCTTTTTTTTTTTTTTTTTGACTGACCATATCTTATGAAATGGCCTTGCGATGGTGTTGTTGAAATGACTTTTTTGCTATAGTGTGCCTTGCCCCGATAATTCCTTCTTCCTACTATGCTTCATTGTAGTTATTTCGCTTTCTCCCACTGATACTGGAGGAAGGAGAGGAAACTCCCTGATGTGCCTCTAGGCTATTGTCAAGAATTAGGTTTTGAGACACCTATTGAACATTAAATCATTATATACTGATCTGTTATCAAGAGGTTGCTTTGCATTTATTTGGGGGATGGATATTTTTAAATTTTTTTCTTGTCCTATAAGGAATCTTTGGGGTTTTTTCTTTTTTCTTTTTCTTTTTTTTTTTTTCATGCAGAATCTAAACAGTGGGAATGTTTGACATCTGAATGCAGAGTGCTCCTAATTGAGTCTTTAGCTACTATGGAGCCAGACAGCAGACCTGAACTGCAGGAGAAAGCAGCGTTACTGAAGAAAACACTTGAAAATCTGGAATAAATTAGAAGGGGAAGAAACAAACAAGTGCCATGTTCATTGGGGGTTGAAATGGTGGTGTTCTTTGAAAAACCAAGTGGGGAAGAGTAAAGATTAATCTGTAGCATGCATCATTCCTTGGCTGAAATAAAAAGAAAAAGCCTTAAATTTTGTTCCTTATTAGCTTTATTTTACTTTATGTTTTTAAAGTATCTGGGCTGAGTGAGCTTAATGGAACCTTGGATGTTTGAGGGGTGATTGTAAAGGAAACTGGCAGAAATAGTTGTTAAAAGAGTACAAGCTATTATTAAAGGAATTAATAGACAAAGTTGTAGAGCAAGCTGGATAAAAATCTTAGAACTGCATTCAAATTAGTTATTTCAGGAAGGGGCCTGTAAATAACTTGTTTTAACCTTCCTCTTAAACCTGAAGAAATAGGAAGCTGTGTCATCTCAGAGGCTTTCTGAGGCCTGTGCCAAAGTCAGAACCCAGGTGTTTAATATTCTGCCCTGGATACTTTCTTTTACAGCCATCTGCCAAATCAGTGCTAACCCTGGCCCACCCAAGAAACTTCCAAGTTGAGGTATGTTTAGGGCGGCACACAACAGCCCTTGTGCCAGAACTAAAGTGACCCTTATCGTTGGGTTTCCGAAAGTCAGAAGCTGAACATTGTCTTGTGTGTTTAGATGGTTGATTTGGAGAAAATGATTGTTTAGCATCTTTACAGATGGAGAGGACAGATTCAGTCTCATTAGGATAATTCCAATCGTCTTCCTTTTACAGGTGGGTAAAGTAGATTAGGACAAGATCACACATTCTATCGGTGTCTGTGGCTGCATATTTTGCAAAACCAGAAACAAAATCACAGACTGCCTCAAAACTGTAATGACAACATAAAATTTCTGTTCACTTTTATGCTACCAGTATGACTTTATAGGGGAGAAGGAAAGCCTTTTAATTAGCCACCTGGGAATTACTCTTTTAAAAAATGCCTTTTCTCAAAATAACATGATACCACTCCAAGTAAATCATTGCCACTAGGGGTTTTCCTCCTTCCTTCTGTTGCCCATGCCCCTGCCTGAAAGTGTAGGGTAAGAGGAAAAACAAGTAAAGCCTTAGTGTTTATGGTAAACTGAGAACTCTGTAGCTTACCTTGGATTCCAGAGCAGAAGATTGGTTTACATTCAATGCTGATCCTTATTGACATTAACACCAGGAATCTCCATGTTTATTATTTTTCGTGGAAACTCCATGTTTATTATTTTTGAGGGTCTCTATTGACCGATGTATTTCAAACTTTTTTGACTGCAAGTCATAATAAAAATAACTTTTTACATCACGACCCAGAACATGTGTGTTTGTGTGTGTATATATGTGCATGCCTAAATATAAAATATTTAAAACATTTCATGAAATAATACATAACTGTGTGATACCCTTTAATATCTCCCCCTGGGCTCCTGATATAATACTCTTCAGACTGTCTCAATTCATTTCCTGACTCACAACTTGGGTCACTACTCACAGTTTAAAAAACACTGCCATAGATAGCACCTAGACTTGGCTGAATATGCTGTGTTTAGGGATTGTTTCTGATTGAAAAGGGAGTTTACAAATAAAAATTTAAGTGTTAATTACAAAAACATCCTCTGCTGATACTGACTTGTGAGTTTTAGTAGCATCATGAATTTTAAGGAATCTATCATGGATTTTCATTTGAGAATGGCTTTTGCTTGGGGTAAAATCAACTTCGGATGTTTTTTAGAAAGTTTATGGCATCTTTTAGGACTTACTGTTTTTCATATCAGTATTTCCCCCTCCACCAAGTACTCTCTGACTTTCATTTATAGTACTCGGGATATTATTCCTTGGCAAGAATGCAATGCAGGTTGGATATTTTCAGAAAGTAGGATTATAAAGACAAGAATTATGCTCTTAGTCTATATCAAATGTTAACACCTTGTCAAATGTTACGCTTTTTAAGCTTTTTGTTTTTTAATATTGGGAATTTCCCTTGGTGCTAACAGTGGTGCTGAGGCACTCGAACCTTTGTGCTTAGTGCTATTGAATTCCTGTACATTAGCCTTCTGAGCACGTTTCTAATTTGTATACTTAATGCCTTCATCTTGACCAGCCTAATCATTCACACAGCTAGTAATGCTCAATAATTGTCTCACAGTGCCCCTTGTGTTTGATGTGCATGTGTGCATATATTTATTAAAAGGGTTAATAACAGAGCTTGTAATTGTGAAATGTTCACTGGCCAACAAATGGCAGAAGGACTCATACATGTTTATTATCATCAGCCTTTGTTTTCCAGAGCTCCCCCAAACAGATTTTGGTTCTTTCTCCCTGGAAATAGTCTGTGTTACCTGTCATACAAGAAACTGATTGGTGGTAGGGTCTATTACTGAATTCCTTATTCCTGGAATTAGTGCACAGGATGTATTGTCTCAAATGTACTGATATGTGAAAAGGAGATACCCAAAGTGTGGCAAGTTGGAAATCAGAATCGTGAAAATAGTGTATAATTGTCTTTCTGGTGATAAAGAGCAGCTGTTTCTTAATGTTTGCATTGAATTTATAATTCCATGTATCTCCCTGTCTCCCTGTAATACAGTCTACCTGCACAGCAAAAGTGCCTCTGCATCCCCATTGCTTCCCTCTTCCATCTTTCACTGTGCACTTACTAATAAGACAAAAGAAAAAAGATGTGCTCTTGTTGGTCTGCGCTCTTGCAGCAACTGCACTGTGCACACACTGGCTGCCCTCCATGGGGCATTTCTACCTGCTGCTGCCACAATAGATTCATGCTGCTGTCTAGGCCAGGGAGTTATTTTGACATTGGCCTCATTGTAATGTACAAACTATTGTTAAATGGGTGTTATACTTAACAGAATTTTGTATTTTATATGCGACTTTCACAAAATCCTCTGCAGTGTGTCCCAGCTAGCTAAGTGTCTGATAGTCTTATTTTAAAGGAAAATCCCATCCATGCCCAAGAAGATATTAAATGGCAAATAAAACTGCATGATCTGTTCTTTTGAAGTAGTGCATTAATTTTTATTAATTCTTCAGGAAAATAATTCAACTGCCAAGGTGTTGACTAGTTACACTTTAAAAAAAAAAAAAAAAAAGCCCTACTGCCTGCCATATTCTGAGCTAACTCTGGTAAGTAGAAATTGCTGGGCTTAAGTGTTTAGGAGTTCCGAGGCAAAGCGGAAACAAAAGGAAGACTCCCTGAACAACTGCTGTCAGATGCTTGGAGAAGAGGTATGGAAACATTTTATTTTCTCATAAAAGTAATCCCTTAGGAACATACAGAAACAACAGACAGTTCTCCTTTTGACCAAGATTAAGATACGTGGCTATGAATGTAAAATGTCAGAGGTACAATCACATCCTATACTGTAAACTGCCAAGCAAATATTTAGACTATAGAAGGTGGCCATGAAAGTGAGTTACCTTGCTTATTATCTCGAGCAGCCAACAAGCCCATGCCGTTCCCTCCTGGTATGTTTTTTCCTTTCAAGCAGGTTCCAAATTAGCTTACTAGAGTAACTCTTTTTTGTTGTTGTTGTTGTTGTTGTTGTTGTTGTTGATATGGAGTCTTTGTCACCCAGGCTGGAGTGCAATGGTGCGATCTTAGCTCACTGCAACCTCTGCCTCCCAGGTTCAAGGGATTCTTCTGCCTCAGCCTCCCGAGTAGCTGGGATTACAGGCACCTGCCAACACACCCAGCTAATTTTTACATTTTAGTAGACATGGGGTTTCACCTCTTTGGCCAGGCTAGTCTCAAACTCCTGGCCACAGGTGATCTACGTGCTTCAGCCTCCCAGAGTGCTGGGATTATGGGAGGGAACCAGGGAGCTAGAGTAACATGTTTTTAAAGTGAAACATTATAATGTTATAAAAGTTGGAAACAGCCTTTCAAATGATGCTTTCTGAAAGTTTTAAGTGTTTGTTTACCTTTAAAAATGATACATTTCTTTTACATTCAAGTAGTAGTGAAAAAGCCTTTATGAAAAAGATAAAGGACAGTGAGAAAACAGCTAATAGGAACATCTGTATTTGTTTGGGTATTCTTGAAAAGAGTACTTTAAAACCAATGTTGGGTATTAGTAGTTAGATGTATAATTCTGTTATGCTACTTTTGATTCCAGAACAGTCTTCAAATACAGGATCTTTTCTGAACATCAGTATTTTTTAGTATTTGTTTTATTTTAGCACTGTAAAGATGCCCCACTGTTTCTTGGCCTTCATCGTTTCCAGTGTGATTTCTGAGGCTGTTCAAATTGTTGCTCTCTGGATGTGGTGTGTAGTTTTTTTTCTGTCTGCTTTCATGATTTTTCCTATTTTTGGATTAAAGCACTTTGACTATGATGTACCTAGCTGTGCTTTTCTTCATATTTATCCTCAAGTTATGCTTCGATTTTTGAATTTCTAAATGTATGCATTTTACTGAATTTGAGATTTTTTTTTTTTTTTTTTTGGCCATTTACCCATGTTTTTTTTTCCCTGTGCCATCTTCTCTCCTCTCTTTCTAGAACTCTAGTTAAACATATGTTAGCTCTTTTGATGTTGTTCTACAGGTCTTAGTCATGTTTTAAAAATTCTCTTTAAGTTTACTGACTCTACCATGTGCATTCTGATATTAAAGCCCATCTAGTGAGTTTTTATTTCAGATATTTTAATTTTCCATTCTAAAGTTTCAATTTTTAAAAATTTTCAATTTCTAATCTTTCATTAACATTTTTAAAAACTTCATGAAGCATAATTATAATTGCTTTTAAGTTCTTATTTGATACTTACACATCTGGATCATCTTGGCTTTGGTCTTTTTTTATTGCTTCCCCCAGGTCCCCAACATCATTTCCTGGTTCTTCGTATATCCGGTATTTTGGGACTATGTCCCAACATTCCTGGACATTGTGCATGTTATGTCATGGAGACTCTGGATTGTTCCTTCAAAGAGCTGCTGTTCAATTTGAGCAGACAATGAACATGGTTAGACTCAAACTGCCAACTGTCTCCCCTTTGGCTCAGATCTCAGTTCAGCTTATTTTTGGCTGAGCTGTTTGCAGTCTGCCGTGAACATAAGTGGTTCAGAGGTTAATCACAGACTTGGGCATAGTTACACATAGAAACTTGGGTTCTTCTCTGCTGTT